CCTCTTATAATTTAAAGCAATTGCAAAGGAGCTGCCCAGGTTCTAGTGTTAGGAGCCTACATTTAGGATCTATGCATTAGGTAGTGGTAATGTGACTACAATTTAATGCATGATGAATTTGATTGGCTAAAATGCTTAAGTTTGCTTCATCATTTGTAATGCAATATGCATTAAGTCTTCTTGCTACTATTCTGTTAACAAATGAAATATCTTTCTCACAGATATTTTTTCTTTCCAATCAGAATGCTGATTTAAAGAAACAGCTTCATGAACTCCAAGCCAAAATCACAGCTTTGAGTGAGAAACAGGTAGGGGAAAAAGGAGTGTGTGGGAGTGGGGGAGTGGGGGGGGGGCGCGTATTTTTAACATTGTGTTCTAAAGATATGTCTGCTTGAGGCTTCTAGGAGAACTGCTATTTTTCCTCATGTGTGAAAATAAGTGTGGGCAGCCAGACTCAGTTTTAATTTTGTTTGAGATCTGTTTATCTATTTTTTTTTGGTTGTGGAGTGGGGGGAGGGGCCGTATTTTTAACATTGTGTTCTAAAGATATGTCTGCTTGAGGCTTCTAGGAGAACTGCTATTTTTCCTCATGTGTGAAAATAAGTGTGGGCAGCCAGACTCAGTTTTAATTTTGTTTGAGATCTGTTTATCTATTTTTATTTTTGGTTGAAATCAGTCTCTAGAGTATCCCATGGGTATATGTTCCTGGTAAATATCTAAAAGCGGTGTGGCAAGCTGCTGTTAACTGTGTTAATTAAACTCTATACTTTACCCATAGAGGAAAAGGGTAAAGAAAGTTAGTGGGAGTACGTGATAGCTGCTGGATATGCTTGTTACTGTTCTGAAGACTTGAAATAACATTTAACTAACATGGAGATAATGATTGTAAACAGATCACTCTACTGGTAAATACAGGTCTCCCATTCTGATTTTTGTTATACCTTTATGTTAACCTGTATTAGATATTGACGTGAAAAGAACTTTGATTAAACCTTGTTAGATTTATTTTATATAGAGCAAGAGCAGAGCATCTTGCTTTTTCAATCTGGAAAGCATGTTTTGGAATTTCTTGTATAATGACCTCCACTTCACCAATTCAGGCAGCTCCTGCCACCAGGTGGAGTGTGACAATTGATAGAGCTATAAGTAAATGTCTGTGGTAGTCTGACAAATCATTGCTTTCTTGCTCCTCCTCCACCCTTTCTCTGATTAAAAGGAGCAGTTTTCTATTTTGGAGGAGGTGAACGTGTGAACTAAAATGATTAGTTGATTTGCAATTGATAGTTAATGCTAGTGATATCTCATTGAAGATTTTTGACTGAATAGTTCTCAGTAATTGATTTTATGTTGTTTTTTAAACTTTAGTGAAATAAAGGCATTGAGAGTAATTTATTTCTGGAGATTTTTTTGTAATTGTTTTCTGTTACAGTGTGTGAGGAGAAAAATAAATCTTGAGAACTATGTGGAATAGTTATGAGTTGTTGCTGTTTCAGAATAGAATATTTTTCCAGCTGAGTGAACAACTGCTTTTTTCTCCCCCTTCCTGTTTTAAGCTACTATGTTTCCCCATCTTGTCTTCTCCAGAAACTAGAGGTGTTTTGGATTAGGAAATTGCCACACTCAAATTGGGAGAAGATGGCATGGTAGAGAACAAGTTTTAAGGAAAAATATGAACAGAGTTTATTAGTATATATTTGACTCTGGTAGTGAGTCAGTTCTCTGAAGTCAAAATGATGTGTGTTAGTGAAAGTGTTCTAGCTTTAGAATTGTGTTAGTGCTGAGCCTCCTATAGTTTCAGCGTTAGTTTGACAAGATGCCAATGAATGAGTCACTTGCCGAAAGAGTCACGTGTTCCAGCTGAAAACTGATTAGTGGAGTAAGGATGGGGTCTGTTGTCATAAAGTTAACCTAAGGCTACATTTGAGGAAAATGGGGCAATTATAAATAAGTACATTTATCTAAAGTTTTTGTTTGTGAGCATTGATACAAAGATTTGCTTTATTTCTGTAACTTTTTATTCTTTAATTTTTTCTATTTTTCTTTAATTTTTATTTTTCTAGGGGTCTAGCTTAATAGAAAATTGCAATCATTTATGTTCAGTAAGGTAGTTCATCAAGTGGTAAATTCTGTCATCTGAACTAAGCTTGGATTTTAGAAACTAGAATTTTTAAAATAAATTCAAAGTAAACATAATTACATAAAAGGGTACGGTCTTTTTTTTCAATAGTTTTATTCATTTCAAATGGGCCAGATCCGGCCCGCGGGCCGTAGTTTGCCCATGGCTGTCTAGTGTCAGTAAAGAGAACTAGAGTCAGAAACTGAAATGCAATCTTGCAGTTTTATTTGCTTAACTATTTAAACAGCCTTTTTGATAGAACAGGGAATGTATCATTGTTAGGTAGGATAGTACTTGAGGAAACACAGCTGTAAAGTTCAAAAGCTGGTCCTTCCGCAGACTTATTTCCAACATGAAACATTGATATTTAGTTTAAAATAGTATTATTTTAGAACAAACTGTTAATGCTGAATGCCCAGCTTTTTGTGTGTCTTTTTTCCTCACAAGATCCACTTAGCCTCTGGGAAAACTTAATGATTTTCCTTCAACTTTAATAACTAAAATCTGAATTACCTTACTTGCATGACTATTATTTTAATTTAACATTAATTTTTTGGTTGTGAGAAAAAATGTAAATACAGAATACTTCAAAGAATATCATATTCCAGAATTAACACTGATTAACCCTTTGTCATTATTTGTTTCCATTCTTTTTCTATATGCATTTTTCTATAATATTTTCTATATCCACTTGAAAATTCAATTACACAATAGATGCATACATTCTCTTACTTTGCTTTATTAAAAAACAAAATTTGCAGATAGCCATTAATTCTTACAGTAACCACTTATTTGTTTTTATTTGTTATTGCTCCTGCAATCTTTGATACTTATTCAATTTCTTTCTCAAGACATTATGAAATGGGACCCTTTATTTGGAAAAATATGGTCTTTAGGGAACATCCTTCATGGCTAAAACTCAGTGAATTTTATTGAATTCTTAGTTAGAAAGTTCCAGTGCTTTCCAGCTGGAACTTGAAGTCTCTGAATAGAAATTTTTCATGGCAGATTTTGAAGTCAACTTTTGACCCACGGGGTCAGGTTGACAGTTTTTAACTTAGGAAATCCCTAGATTTGATTGGCTACAGAAAGTATATGTTATGTAGTCACTCTCATGGTTTCAGAAATGTTTTTGTGACATTGGGAAGTGCTCATGGTAAGATAAGTGAAAAGCACATGCAACTTCACATGCGTTAAAGTCCCATTTTTGTGTGTGTTGTAGATATATATGTGTATACAAGTGTAAATGTGTATAAAAACAGTGTCAGTAT